ATATAAGGATTTTTAGTTTGTGGCGCCATCTATATGTCAGGCCAAAGACTTTTCAGCCCATGTAGTATTCTTCTCCATGCCCGGTACGACGAATTCGACGGGCGCGTCGTCCGTGAGAGAAGACACGGGTTTGTAGTGAATCCATTGTGAACTCTCAATACTGGTTTGTGTAGGCGTAGGGTAGGGTAGGATGAAGAGAGATCGAGTTCACTCTTTAAACATTCGTAGGAATGCGTATGAAGAAAGGACAGGCTTGTTGAAAGCACGTGTTTGTTGTTTAGGAAAAAATGTCTGACACGGTACGTTTCTTGATAACTCCCCGACGTTTAGTAAGTCCTCTCCCGATTTTTTTCACTGAACGCTTCTTCTTCGTGGGTTTCTTCGCTAGCTTCTTACCCGATTTTTTCCCCGGTGCGTTTCTTCGAGTCACTTTTCTTTTACTTGATTTAAAAGCGCTGACCCGATGTTTGCGCGAAGATGATTTACCGCTGTATCCGCTTGGCGTGTTGAAAGAAAAATGAGCTTTTCCGATTTTCGCAGGAACTTTATATTCCGACCCCTTCATCAGATTGTTAATGTGTTCTCCCGCTCTTCTTTTGAGATTTGAGCCTAGTTCCTTGAAGCGCGTTTTAACAGCTACTTCCAATGGTGTGTTATTCCCCACATCATCGAGTATATTAATCCCTGCGCGTAGAGCTTCTTTTCCAACGACATGCGCACCACTGGCCAAATAAGGTTGAAACCCGTCTGAACAGACCACCGAGAAAACTACCGATGCCGTGACTGCATAGTATCAGTGGGGAAGGTGCATGTACGAAACCGATACTCATCCGGGGTAGATTGTTTTAGATCGAGCAACAAATACCCATGTGGAAATAATGTAGCGTTATAGTAAGCTTCTTCCAAAAACTTTGAATCTTCTGGACATACTTGCATAGCCAAGTGACGAATCTGAGCATGATCGCGAGGATTTTTGAACACCACGATGTAATTCGCGTTGAGAGAAATATCACGTTGTCCGCGTTCTTGATGAAATAGATTTTGCGAAATGAGTATAACACTGAGATTTTTGTGATAACTACTCTTTGTGAACATACCGACGATTACTTCGCACGATGACGATTCCCTCATGAGATCGTCTGTTATCACTATTTTCGCGACAAGCGGATCGTTTGAATAATCATCCGGGCACGGTAAGCCTTCTCGAAATTCTGTCACGCATCGTCCCAATTTCGCCGCTTCATGCTGTAGTTGGCGGTAAGCCTCTTGCCACTCGGCATAACAAAATAGGATTCTGTCGAAACGTGTATCCGCCATCGCGGGTAAATAGCGAAGAAAAGTCTTTACGAAAATCGTTTTCCCACAACCCGTAGGGCCGCAAACGATCGATGTCCAAGGATGTTTCCAGCGCGTGTCCATTCTGCCAAATGACTGATTCGGTTACCTAGTGAAGCTACATAAATGCTGAAGAAAAGGAAAAACGGCGATGAGCTTATAACTCGTGCCGGGGGCCCTTCCGCGGCGGCCACGCGGTCCCACTAGCTTATATCCGCGGAAGCGCCATGTAGAATAAGCTTTTTCACGTGGCGCTCGCGGCCGCGGGAATAGCTTATTTTAGCGCCGCTAGCGAAATTAGCTTTCCAGCGTGAAACTGTGAGCTAATAATCGTTCAATGAGCTCGTACGCCTGTGGGTGAAAGAGACTGCTCCTAGCGATATAATTTCCTAAAATTTTATTGTGATTCAGGGGTCATATACACGGATAGAAATACATTTACAAGGTGTTATAAAAGTAACGGAAGAGCAGAATGACTCGAAAAATATGAGTCCTAGAAAAAATGCGAAGTACTGGGTTTTTATGATTTTTTCTTGGCTATCTGACGGTGACCTTGAATTTGACCTTGACAATGACCTTGAAGGTAATTTCAAAGTCAGGTCAAATTTTTTAATGGGACCCCATACTTTTGACACCAGAAATGAAAAGAGTGGAAAATTTTACGTTCGGATATGACATTAAACACTGCCAAATTTGACCTCTGAAGGTCACATAAAGATCTAAGCTTGTTTTAGGCTGAAAACGCGAATATCTTCGAAAATGCACCTGCTAGGGAGCAATGTTACGCATAAGAATAAGAATGTGGAGGTCAACGAGGGACATTCAGCCGTGACCTTGCCCTTATTCTCAAGGTCATGAGTTATTTCAAGATTATTATTAAGATCAAGATTATTATTAAGGTCAAACCGGACTTTTTAGGACTGAAAATCCATACTTTTGACTTAAAAGTGTCAAGATTGAAAAATTTTACGTTCGGATATGACGTTTTCAACCTTGACCTTGTTCTTAAGGTTGTGTCAGTCACATCAAGGTCAATTAATTTTTTTAGGCTGGAAACACATACTTTTACCCCCCCCCCATAATGTGAAGAGTGAGATTTTACGTTACGTACGAGGTCACACTCCGATTGTTGGTAATTCCTCAATATCAGGCGCCATTCTGGATCAGTCATCTTGAATTTGTAAAATCCAACGTCGGATTCGATTTCAGAAACGACTTCAAAAACTCCTTAAACGAGATCCAATTTTTGTTATTCTTAAATATCGGCCACTATCTTGAATCGGCCATCTTGAATTTTCAAAATCCGACGTCGGATTCGGTTTTAGCGAGCTCAAAAATCCCAGAATCGGTATCCCAAAAATTTATTCGCCATCGCTAAAGTGTATGCTTCAAGGTTTTTATTTGTCTCGATTCTATCAGTGTCAAACAGATAATAGATTGATTTTGAGTTTTCATCGATTTAACAAAATTTAATGTCATTCTAGTCCGTTTTGAATTATTATCATATTATTATTAACGCTCAATGATACATTACTTATTATTTTTATTTAAAGGTAATGAAACCGAATTTTTTATACCAAATTTTCACAAATTTTTTGTTTTCAATTCCAAATGGCTTCTCTTACAGAGCATGAGAGAGTTTCACTATTGATGATGAGAGAATGGGGGGGTAGACAAAGGTCATACAGTGATGTGAGATTGCTGTTCAATGAAAACTTTCGTAATGAAGGCGAAGGTATTTCAATATCGACTGTATCTCGCAGCATCAAGCGATTTGTAGAAACTGGCAGTAATAAAACCGCCAAAAATCTGGGAGGCCAAGGTCCCAAACGACAGAAGAACGACAATTTGAAGTAGCCCAATCATTTATTGAAAATCCCAGATTGTCAATTAGAAAAGTATCTCAACAGCTTCAAATGAGTGTATTGTCAATTTCCAAAAATCTAAAGACCATTAAGTTCCACCCCTACAAAATTCATTTCCACCATGAGTTGAATGAGGATGATTTTGACCACAGGGTGCAATTTTCAGAAATTATGATGCATAGAATTGATCAGCAACCGAACTTTTTGCATAATATCGTTCTTTCAGACGAAGCGTCTTTTGAAATTACTGGTAAGGTAAACCGTCATAATTTTAGATATTGGGACAACGAAAATCCTCATTGGATGCTTGAAGCACATACGCAGCGACCTCAAAAATTGAATGTTTGGGCAGGTCTTTATGATAATCAAGTGGTTGGGACTTTTTTTATAAATGGGAATTTGAACTCAGAAACCTATCTGCAGCTTCTGACAGACCAAAAAATTGTTCCATCAATACAGGAGATTGTTGGTAATAATTTTGATGATGTTTGATTCCAGCAAGATGGGGCACCGCCACATTATGGACGCATTGTTCGAAACTAATATTTAAACGATACTTTCCCTAATCAATGGATAGGTAAAAGAAGAACAATCGAATGGCCACCGAGATCGCCCGACATTGCACCACTTGATTTCTTTCTTTGGGACTGCATAAAAAATAAAGTTTATTTCACTAAACCTCGTAACCTGGATGAGCTTCAACAACGGATCATAGACGAATGTGCTGCAATACCTCCAGAAATGATAAGGAGTGCGACTGACAATTTGTACGTCCGCTTAGCACACTGTCAAACGGTCAATGGAGAACATTTTGAACATCTCTTGTAATCTCAGGCTGAGTTACAAGATGCTTTGCCTTCAGTGGTCGGGTTTGAGACACCTTGCCTTCAGTGGTCGGGTTTGAGACACCTTGCCTTAAGTGGCCGGGTTTGAGACACCTTGCCTTCAGTGGTCGGGTTTGAGACATCTTGCCTTCAGTGGTCAGGTTCCGAGACGCTTTACTTTCAGTAGACTTCACGATCAGTGAAGTAACGTAAAACGCATAATTTTGAGAACAAGGTTGAAAACGTCATCCAAACGTAAAATTTTTCAATCTTGACACTTTTATGTCAAAAATATGGATTTTCAGTCCTAAAAAAGTCCGGTTTGACTTTAATAATAATCTTAACTCATGACCTTGAGAATAAGGGCAAGGTCACGGCTGAATGTCCCTCGTTGACCTCTACATTCTTATTCTTATGCGTAACATTGCTCCCTAGCAGGTGCATTTTCAAAGATATTCGCGTTTTCAGCCTAAAACAAGTTTCGATCTTTATGTGACCTTCAGAGGTCAAATTTGGCAGTGTTTAATGTCATATCCGAACGTAAAATTTTCCACTCTTTTCATTTCTGGTGTCAAAAATATGGGGTCCCATTAAAAAATTTGACCTGACTTTGAAATTATCTTCAAGGTCATTGTCAAGGTCAAATCCAATGTCACCGTCAGATAGCCAGGAAAAATCATAAAAACCCAGTACTTCGCATTTTTTCTAGGACTCATATTTTTCGAGTTATTCTGCTCTTCCGGGACTTTTATAACACCCTGTATATTTGTAAAAGAACTTATTTCTTCTTTATTTTGCAAAAGCTTTATTTTAATAGAATATGTACATACAGTTTGCACAAAAGTTTTTTATAGAGCTAATGCATACACGATATACAGGTTGGTCGCTTTTGGGGAAACGTCTATATTTACATTTTTCTTACTCTACAAATAAGTGTTTAGATTTGGAGGAGAAAGAACCTGCTCTACTACTATTCTTACGCCACTACGTAACCGTATGGCACAGAGTGACCTGTGTCGTCGAATCTACGTTTTAGGAGCACCGGCACGCATGACTTGCTCTCGTCTCTCGTTATAGTGTCGTGAAACGCTGTACGACGAATCGCTCTAAAACGTTGATTTATCGAAGTTTTCCTCTCATCCTCCTTCTCTTACTCGTTCTCATCGATAGGTATTTTATTGGTGACTAATAAGTTTTTTATACTACTAAAATTAATATATTTCGAAGTCTCAAAGTTCAAAGTTATCCCCTTTACTTTGCAAACTTCATGGATTTTACCTTGTGGAGTGCGAACGACATAGGCATAAAATTTCGGGCCTCCGGATACAAAGGATTCTATGTAGCTACCTTGACCATAACTTTCGAGTTTGACCGTCATATCGCCCAAGAAATTACCCGTACGCGGCTCGTACTCATTGGGGTCACCGGTGTTCAAATATATATATGAATCAGTATCATAATATAACACTCTACGATCTAATTTTTCTAAATAAGCGTACAATTTCAAGCGTACCTGTCGTACGCGTACCAATTTCCGTCGTATAGGTTGCAGTTGCAATGTAGGTGTAGTTGCAGAGGGAACAAGCGCCTCTTGTCGTAATCGCCATGAGACGTAGAGAACCTCATCGTTCACGGGCAATATGTTTATGATTTCATGCTCGAAACTCGTGAGCAGCGACATGAAATGTTCGCGCGTCTTAACGACCTCGGTATTCGACAGATTAGATCGCTGACTGAATTTACCCCAGAACGAATTGAGGCAAAGCTTCGCAACCGAACGCAACCCCGAATTTACCGCGATGTTGTTTCTATCGAGAACAATACCTTCTGTTTTTTCGTATTCCCGCAGGTATCGCTCTTTGGCCTCTTCATCGTCGATGCATTCAGCAGGCCATCCGCTAGCCTCTTGCTTAAGTTGCAGAAAGTTGATATATCACGCGAACATACCTCCCAACCGAGTACTTGGGTCGTATTGCGAAATCTTATATTTCGAAATCTCGCTCACGGACCTGACACTATAGCCCTTCTCTATAGCCTTCCGTAATTCACAGGATACCCAGATATCCTCGAATTCTCGATCGGCCGGATTATCATGTGTGCATAGAGATTGAGAAAATGTCTCGCAGCAGCTACGGCATAGGGCGAACAATAACTTTCCGCGAATGCGAAATGGGAGTACAGGGTGAAAGAGATCACGCGGAGTGAACACCTTGCACCGTACGATCCCCTCCACTCTGCTGAAGTCAAAATCGGGAGCTATACCAATCAAGGCAGAACATTCTTCGCCCACGTACACGTCCAAGCGGTGACCAAGCGAAAAAGAACCCGTCTTTAGCACAAACGGGTACAAGGAGCATACGTCTACGTAACGTATCTTCTCCGTACCCGTAACATCGTACCGGGTGACGATGTTCCCTGTACGACTACCGAAGAACGCTTCACGAGGATCGAGAGGCTCAATTTTTAACATCGAGTAATTCGTAAAGAAATCGTATCGGTTGATTGTCCTGCAACTCCCGATCGAAGACGCACTCCCACTTCTCCGTTACGATGTAACCTAGCTTCTGTAGACGAGATGTCACGCGCGTATGCTCGTATCGCGACTCAATAGTATCCCCCTTCACGGTGGTCGAGAGCGGGCTATCACGATTCACCCTGAAACACGCGGGACATCCATGCCAAAAACACCCGTGAAATTGCAACACGTGTCATTGCGCAGGATTCGTTGTCTCGTAATACCCATCGACGAGCAGCCCTTTCGGTATGCGATGTTCGCGAGATCTACCTGCATGAGTTATAGTATGACCGAGCTCGCGCTCCATCCACAACAACCATTTTAACGCTTTGCGGGATTGATTGACACGCCGATACCCACCCGAAGGAATAATACCTATCTCCTTTTCACGCAGAAAGTTTTTACGAAAAACTCTCATGCACGTAGAGGCGATGGTTGTGCATTCTTCAAAAGGCCGTACTTTTCCACAATCCAGGAAAATCTTACGGAACACAAGACAAGCCCGTCGAAGAATATCGACATCGTTCCGGCAATAGCTCACTATTTCCCATTGGAAATCAAATTCTATGTTTTTGCGCACCATGTCCTCGTGCCATTCTAAAAACCGCTCACGCTCAGACGGTCTCATTGTTTCGGAAGAATAGTATCTTGCATCTGGTATCGGTCCGATGTAATGTTGATTTTCGACAATGTTAAATAAATGCGGAAACAGGCCTTTGCCTGCTGTATCCTTTAACACGAAGGCTTTTGATAATGCTGACAAGCGCATAGGCATATAATTAACACTGTCGATAAATTTTGTTTGCCCAACGGTTAACAATATGATCTTCGTACCATTTAAAATAAGCTTGGGTTCCACCCAATTATCGTTCTCGACCAAGTACCGTAGGATAAATTGCGCATCGAATGCGCTTGCGTTGTGTGCGATGCAGATGATCTGTTTGAAACTCTTCCTCGGTCTCGTGACAAAATCGACGAATTATTTCACCGGATTGTCTCGAAATATAAATTCGCGCATCCCGCACCAACGACATCGCAACGCCATATCGTCTACACTCATGCAGCTTTCACATATCTACTGCAACACAGAGCGTCACAACGTGAGTTTTAACATTTTCTATGTCTTCGATCGTATCGTCTTGACGCATCTCAAAATCATAGAAAGGCAATGCGACCTTTTACGCGCTTACTTGTTTCTGTCGCTTCGTCAATGTCATCAACTACGTTTTCGTTTCCTACTCGCTGCGGATTCATCGTGTCGGATGAACCAGTGTCGCATTGAAGTGGTTTCATATAACATAGATGATTCATTGGTTGCAACGCGTTGCAAACACGACAAAAGATCTCATTGCAATTGTGTTTGTTCCTCAAGTTTCACAAACGGCCACAGTCGCTGCAAACTCTCAGGATATTACAGATGCTCAAAGATGAAGTGCCTTGGAGTGATTTTTGCGCACGATGACGCTCGAAACACACCGACCCGTAAAATTCATATTGACACGCGGCACATCGTATTAGTTCTACGCCTGATACCTCGCATGCTGGAACGCCGTGACATCGTCGACATGCGTTTGAGCACCGATGCCCTCTTTCCGGCTTATATCCGCTATTACAACGTACACAATAACCTTGGCTGCCCGATGCAGCTTTTAAATTTAATATTGGATTGTAATGACTTATTTCATAGTACATAATATTCAGAGTCGTTTTAGCTTCGCGCCCGTGGGAGGTGAGTACGCTGCTACCATCGTACATGAGGGGCGCACTACGTGCGAAGGAACTAAAGTAATAAACAACGATCACGATATCGTTGCTGGCAAGATAATGCTGGAAACGCTCGATCTCGGGAATACCACACCCTTCTTCAGGTATACAGACACCGGCTTTCCGTGTCAGTTCGACTGCTACGTCTCGTTGTAATATAGAATATTGCTTCCTCACAGAATTCCATTTATCATGTACTTCTCCTGTGCGCACATTGCCGCATTCGTTGTACACTATCGCAGCGACGAGCGAACGGGGAAAGCACAAATTGTCAAAGTTGTTTATAGTAAGGATCGAGTGTTTCGCTATATCTTCGTGAGTTAGTTTATATGATTTCTTTCCACGACCAGAAAGTGCCGCGACATTGAAAATATTAATTTTGAAATGTTCTAAAATATCATGACATCCGGCACTCTGCGCTAACAAATTCACAAGATTCCAAATCTCGTTGTAGGTCAAGTCCCGAGCGGGACAAAGCGATAAACCCGCAGGCCCCCGCGTTAAGTCCGAAGAAGCAAGCGTCAACCCCACGTAGTTGTTCGCGCCACCCGAATTTACCGCGTGATCGTAGATTTCCTGAAAAGCATTTTCTAAATATTCATAATGTTGGCTCCTTCTGGAGGTGGGAGAATTCGAATATTCAACTCCCTCACGAGAATATTAAATTTTCTATAATTATACGACTTTTCCCTGAGTATTTCAATACATTTATATAAGGATCACGATTGTTAACCGTGTCGGCTTTTGCTGTTGCTTCGCACACTCTTTGGTCTTCGCTTTTGTCCCTTCGATGTTCTTTCGACTGTTCGTATCCATTACCCTGTTGTACTATAAATATGAATTGAAAATGTTATACAGGTATAAATTTTACGCACAATTAGAATAAAAATACAACTAAGAATATAAGATATTTTCTCTTACCTTTTCTTACCTTCAACTAGTGTAGCCTGCGAGATTCGGAAGTCCTGGATTTCACCAGCTTCACTTGCGTCTTGCGTCGTTTCATCGACTCCATTGTCATTGTACTCGATGATGTTACCCGTGACGTGAACAGCGTCGTCATGACTAATATCAATGCCGTTTTCATTCATATTGCAGGTAATATCTTTGTCAGTTCTCACTATTTTATTACGACTTGCTAAAATTTAATATTAAACACGATATTAAACACGAGGCTCTACAAGAGAATAATCTTATATTTATTTTTCCTTATACTCACAGGTAGATTTCGTTGACGAGGAAGCCTTATACTCGAACGAGAGCGGCTCTTTGGATTTCCGCTTCGTACAGTATTGGTGAGAACTGAGAAAATGAAGAACACAAGAACGTATTCGTGAACACCAGCATTTATTAGACTTATCCTTTTATGTCACATCACAGCGAAAGGAAATTACGAGGTATATCCAGAAAGTAAGAATACAAGGGCTGTGTAAGACATAGGGATTTTTTTGTTGCAAAGTTGGCACCCGTGACGTGTAGAGGGGTTCGTAACGGTCATAATAAGCCATCGAGCGCCTTTGTCAGTTACGAAATGTCGCAGAAGCCTAATACGTCAACCAGTGCGTCCTCCGTTCGCTCCACCTACAGCAGGTGTGAGATTCGTTCACTTAATTGTGACTGGGGACGAAACGTGAGTGTGTCACTATACTCCTGAGTCAAAAAGACAGTCTCTGCAGTAGCGCCATATCCATTCTCCATCCTCCAAAAAATTCAAAGTTCAATCTTCAGAGAGGAAAATCATGGCGTCCGTATTTTGGACCGGAAAGGGCTCTTGTTAGTCGATTTCATGCCCAAAGGGATCACCATAAATGCTGCTGCATATTGTGAGACCCTAAAGAAGTTGAGAAAAAAAATCAAAGACAAAAGGAGGGGAATGCTGACTCGTGGTATGTCTCTCCTTCAGGACAACGCCAGACCCCATACCGCCCGGCTCACTCAAGACCTGCTCGTGTCGTTTGGATGGGACATTGTGATTCACCCACCCTACTCCCCTGACCTGGCACCCTCGGATTACCATCTTCTCAATAAATTGAAGGAGTTCTTGGGCGGAAAGCGCTTTTCGAACGATGAGGTCATGCAGACTGTGACAAAGTGGCTTCAGGGGGTGGAGCGAACGATATACGACGAGGGTACACAAAAGCTGGTGCCCAGGCTTCAAAAGTGCATTGACCTCAACGGCGATTATGTGGAGAAATAATAACATATTTTGGCACATACCATAAATTAAATTTCAGTAAAGTTAAGTTTAAAGTAAATTTCAATAAAATATATTCATTTTCCGATTTTAAACAATTGTTGTATTCTTACTTTCTGGATGTACCTCGTATAAAAGAATAAAAGAATAATCCTTTTTCTTTTCATATCTATATCTCGCATTCTCAGACGTGAAAAATGCGAGTTCCGTGCGGTTCCCTTAGGCCCTACACGAAAAACGTTTTGTAGAATTGTCTGTTTATCTAAATTTAGATGCGTGGAAGGAAACATAAGCAGTTTTGACTAGGACAGGACTCCGGTTCACAAAAGACATGTAAAGGGCATTTTCTCATCCGCTGATTCGGCAAATATTGGGTCTGGGAAAAAGTTCGTGGCGTTTTTTTAGTAAAATTCAACTGGTTTTCTTATAGTGTGAAAATGAATTTATTTAAACCAAATATGCTTTATTATTATCGATAATGTTTTGCCATTTTTCGGGTAGAGCTATGATGCCATCGGTGAAGAATTTCTGTGGTTTCTGGTTAAAAAACTGAATCAAGTGGTTTTCACAGGCTTCTTTTGAAACCAGCTTAATTCCATTGAGAGAATTCTGCAGAGATCGGAACAAGTAATAGTCAGAGGGTGCTATGTCTGGACTATACGGTGGATGCATCAAAACTTCCCAACCAAGCTCTCGCAATTTTTGACGGGTCATCAAAGAAATGTGTGGTCGGACGTTGTCATGATGGAAGACAACACCTTTCCTATTATTCAATTCGGGCCGTTTTCTTTCAATTGCCTGGCGTAATCTTTCTAGTTGTCCACAGTAGAATTGAGAATCAATGGTCTGACCAACTGGAAGTAGCTCATGGTGGACGATTCCCTTCCAGTCCCATTACATACACAGCATCATCTTTTTCAGCGTCAATCCTGGCTTCGCGAACGCTTGTGACGGCTCACCATCCCTTATCCACGATCTTTGATGCTTCCGATTGTCGTACGTGATCCATTTTTCATTACCGGTTATGACACGTTTCAGAAATGGTTCGATTTCATTGCGTTTCAGCAGCGTATCGCAGATGTTAATTATGTTATCATGTTTCTCGCGCTCAACTCATGAGGAACCCATACATCGAGCTTCTTTTTGTAGCCAGCTTCGTGTAAATAGTTCAAAACAGTTTTGTGGTCAATGCCTAGCTCCATACCAATATCGACACTACTGCTTATCTTGCTGGACTTTTTCAAGAATTTCATCAGCTTTTTCAGTGATTGGACGACCAGAGCGTGACTCATCTTTCACATCAAAATTACCAGAATGAAAGCGAGTGAACCATTTCCGCGCAGCAGATTTTGATAAAGTACCTTCACCGTACACAGCATAAATTTTTTCACACTGCACAGAGTTCTTCCCTTTGTCGTAATAATATTGCAAAATATAGCGCAATTTTTCATTACTTTCCTCCATTATCAAACGCAAACAACTTTCCAACCACTGCACCAATTTCGATGTTTATACACTCAAAGTAACGCTCGAAGTGTCACCTTTCCAAGGAGCGTTTAGTGGTGTCGCTGCGATCTGTGTTTCTTGAGTTATTTGCAATTGACGCCATCTATCGGGAAAAACGCTACGAACTTTGTCCCAGACCCAATATAATGCTTATTCCCGCGATAATATAAAACCCGTCGGAATCTGTAGGGTTCGCGCATTCCGTTCAGTCACAAAAGAATAAACCTTATCGCGGCCACAAAAGAATAAACCTTATCGCGGCCACAAAAGAATAAACCTTCTTTCTTCTCGTTTTTATAAATTCTCAGATGTGAAAAAATGTGCGTCATTCCTTTGCGGCCTACACAAACGATTTGTAGAAATGTGTTTATCTAAACATAAATTTAGATGTAAGGATGGACGATATAATCGGTTTTGACTACAATAAAGTCCGATTGGAAACTTTCGCAAAAGACCGTAAAATGTATTTTCCCATCCACTGCTTCGACAAATATAACGCCTGCTCCCACGACATCATGAAACCTGTAGGAACACGTACGCTCTGAGAAATTCTAGAACGTTCTAGGCTGAATCATTTAACAAATATTGAGAAATAAATTTATTTGTTGTATGCACACAGAACTACCCCTCCACTTTTCTTTTTCCTATAAGAAGCCCGTTGAGCTGGGCCCAAACCATTTGAGCTTCTTCAGTCTTAGTACTCGTTTCGTGTATACGAAGTATATTAGTTCTCGTGTTTTCACCTGTGGGATAATAAGTTCTTGTGAGAAACATAATGGCGAATACTAACGCAAACGCAGAATTTAAGAAGATCGCGTATGGTGACTCTGGGGAGGCTCGCTATGAG